GGAATAATGCATCTAAAGTTTCAAGGGAAAGTAAACTAAGAATTCTATACCCAGCTGTATTAATTCAGATTCCCTTTACAGGGAATGGAAAGCCCTCACAGTGGTTTAAACAAGAAGGAACTGTATTATCTCATATCATGTGAAATTCAGAGATAGGATACCACCAGGGTTGGTAAGTTCATCAGTTTAATAATGACAAATAATAATCAAGATTCCTGATTCTTCTATCATTCTGCCATGTCATCTTCAGCTTGTTGGCTGTATACTCAGACTAGGTCCTCTCTGGTGTCAGTTTGTCCACAGTAGTTCCAGGCACCACATTCAGAAATAACAGTCTCCACAGAAAAATGAGAATGCTTTATACCTGTTATTCACAAGTCCTGGCAGTCTTTTCTTCGTATCTTATTGACCAAAATTGTAGCTATGCCTATTCTTAAACTAACCAATGGATAATGGGTAGACCAGTCAGGAACCACCGCCCTGTGGACACATGGAGGAGGAGAATACCTGTACCAAAGAAGGTTCTATTATGAGAAGTATGGGGGTGGGAGTAGATGGATGTTGTGATACCCAGTAGTGTCTGCTCTACCAGCCATAGGAATCATTAAATGTGAGAGTAAAATAAACATATTTTCAGACATGCAGGGACTCAGAAGTTTACTTCCCATATAGCCTTTCCAAAAAAAAGAACCATTGCTGAAGGATATTCTCCAGCCAAATAATAAATGATCAAGAAATGATGAAAATATTGAACCCAAGGGATCACAATAATAACCCAGCAGGCCAATGAAATGAAATCCCAGTATAACACCCGGGCAGCAGAATTGGAAAGGGACTGGTGACAATCAGAAGTCAAGATGTCTTCAAGGAGAAAGTGATTCCATTACAGAAACTGGACAGCTAAGGATTTTAAGGGATTTAAGATATGATATGGCGCTGGCATATGCCATTCCTTTTCTTCCCTCCCCCCACTTAGGAACTCCGCGAAAAATACAGAGTTGTAGTCCAAATGTGAAGGAAACGGAAACGTGTCTTGGCTGTCAGCAGGCGACAGAAGGAACAGAGAGTCCACTTGCTCTTCACTCTTGAAATATTATTCTTCAAGTGGCACAGATTTCATGTCATGGGATCACATTTTGTACTTTTGGGTTCGATCACAATTTTTGGTTCTGTACTCTCAATCATTTTCAATGCTATGTACTAGTTTTGATTTTTTAGAATCAATTTGAAGACAAAGCATGGAAAATATAATTACGGAATAGAATGTAAATGTATCAGCCATATTTGGAGTCCAGGACATGAAGTGGAGGGTAATGTAGATGGGTCTTCCTTAGTCGGTAACATTTTAAAAATAGTTAAATCCAGAAATAGAGATGTAAGTGCATTGAGTTAGGAACAGTTATGTTATCCCTTGGCATGGACTGTAATGGGGGGTGAAGTCAGAGTAAGACTTTTTTTACTCTTCCGTACAAATTTTTTCCTTTTTAAAGCAAGTGAATGTTTTGCTTTTACAATAAAAATTTCAGCACAAATGTTGGCATGTTACGGGATAGAACCCTTTGTGCTCGTCTCACACTTGTGGTAGGCATCAGCACCGAAAAGCTGAGAAGCCCTGGAGAAAGTGCTGTGCATTCCCGGGGAGCAATATGCACTTGTTGCCACGTGACTTACCACCTGCTGCTGTCACCTGGGACCTAAGCTGCCATAGGAAGCATCCCCTCACTCAGATGTTGCTTCCCCTGTAGAACTCTTCTCTGTCAGGAGACTGGCCCCTAGATGAGGGTGAAGTTTCTGAGATGGTAAAGGGTTCAAGAGTATTATCCTTGAAAGTCCTCACGTTGCCCATCGAATGATTTACACGCAGTGCTCGAGACTGTGCTCTCTCTCCATAAGCTCAATAAAGCTGGTGGTTTTCCCCTAATTCAGTTGTTGTCCCTTGTGTATACAAGCCACATTCTACCAAACCAAACCCAACCCACAAAAATGTCCTCATCTGCAGGCTCCCACTCAATATGGTGACATGCACACACTCGAAGAGAACTGTACTGAGCTGGGTGAAGGAGCTCAGATTCACGTCCCTACCTCACCGTCACTCAAGGCATCCATTTCCGCAATGAAATGGCACATGCAGTTGAGCAGGCTTTAAAATTCCTTCTCTCTCTCTGTCTGTTATGGTGGGGGTGGGGCAGGGAGCATGGACTTAAGTCCATGTAAGTTGAATACTTGACTCACCCAACTCCACTGCATTTCATGATTGTGCGTATTACTCAGCAGAAGCTGCTGTGCAGGTGGAAACACATGTAGTCTAGTGCTAAGAGCACTCGGCCAGAAGTTAGAAAATCCAAGTTCACGTTCGGCCGCCTGCCTTTTCTCTTTCTGTGTGAACTTTGGTAAATCACATACCTTCCCCTCTCTGTCTCAGTTTCTTTATCTCTAAATAAGAAATGGACTCATAGCATTTGGCTTGTACAGTCATTCTCAAAATGTCACTGGGGGGCCCGCAGAGGTCTGTGAGACCCGTTCAGAGGGTCTGTGAGGTCAAAACTACTTTCGTAATAATACCAGGATGTGACTTGCCTTTTTCATTTTCATCCTCTTGTGAGTGTACAATGGAGTTTTTAATAGGCCACAGGATTTATGATATTGCAATGGATTAAATGCAGAAACACATTTTAGAATCCAGTTGTTTCGTGTTAAGCCAAACATTAAAGAGACTTGCAAAAGTGTGAAAAAACAGCAGTCTTTTCACAAACTTTTTTTTTCCTTTGGAAAATCTATTTTTCATAAAATATGTTACTTGTGTTAAAATGTAATGGGGTTATTAATGTTATTTTAATGAATTAATAAGTATTTTAATTTTTGTACACAAGGAGTGCTGGCTCATGCTTGTAATTCCTGCAATTTGGGAGGCTGAGGTGGGTGGATCACTTGAGCCCAGGAGTTTGAGACCAGCCTGGGCCACGTAGTGAGACCCTGTCTCTGCAAGAAAAAAATTAAAAAAATTAGCTGGGCGTGGTGGCGCACGCCTGTAGTCCCAGCGATTGGGAAGGCAGAGGCCAGAGGATCATTTGAGTCCAGGAATTCAAGGTTACAGTGAGCTATGACAACACCACTGTACTCCAGCCTGGGAGACACAGCAAGGACCCCTCTCTGAAAAAAATTTTTTTTTGTTTTAATTTCTAAAATGGCAAATAATGATAGATATAACCCATATAAACAAAGGCTCTTTGGAGCCCCCAGTAATTTTTAAGAATGAAAGAGGTCTGAGGCAAAGGCATTACATGTAACCAAAATGTTTGTACCCCCCATAATGTTCTGATAAAAAGAAAGAATGAAAGAGGTCCTGAGACCAGGGGGGTTTCAGAATTGCTGCTGTGTTGTTCTGCGGTGAGCGGGCACTTTCCCACATGGCATTGCCTTAGTCCCTCCTGTCCCCTTCCGTGCCCCCCCCCACCCCAACGCACACACACTGAAAGACAAACCTGCAGTTTTTACCTTGGTTTTTCAGCAGATATCAGTTTCTAAACTGAAATACATTTTGGAACATTTGCTTCAACATGGTTTGATTATTTGGAGGAAATGGGTAATGGGAAGCTTGTGTGGAAACATCTAGCAATAATCCCATGAGCTTTTCAAATGGCCAGGATTCACTTTTACCCTGTCATGAATTTAAAGCTATCTGTGTAGAACAGTTTTTTAGAAAAATATCTAGGACTGGAAATTCCCAGGAAAATCATAGAAAAGAAACTAGTTATGAAAGACTGGAGACCTTACTTCCAAGTCACTCCCACTGAACCAGACGAGAAGAGATCATAATTTCGCATTTCCCACTTTAAGTGAGAAGCAAAAATACTGAATTTTAGTTAACCCTGATGGTTGTGCAATTTAATTAATAGTCTTTTAAACACTGAGAAGGCTTTATTAGAAAGTATTGTCAGATGAGTGGGGCATTCAATTGACGGCAAAGATTTCTATACCCAACACTAGTGGTTCATGGTGTGGTTCTAGCAACTTTGTCTTTCCTGAATGTTGGTTGCAAAATAAGATTATTAACCATTTGGGTATCTTCAAAAGTATGTGGGAACCAACACTGGGATCTTTCATGAAAGGTGGAAACTTCTCTCCAGTTTTAAAGGTAGCCCCCTCATTTGAATCTTTACAAAATAATGAAGGCTGTGCACCTAAAGGTTTGTTCTGGAATTTGCCTGAACCATTTATTCATTCAGCAAATCTGTCTGTCTGTCTAGCTATCTAATCTGCTATGTGCTGGGTACTACAGACTGCCATCAAGGCAGCTTACTTTCGACTGGGGGGACACATACAGAAAACTATGTTAATGATAGAGTTCTTTGGGAGGGGATAAGTACTTTGGGAATAGCAGAGCAGGGTAAAGGGGAATCAGTGTGCAGATTGAGAAAGTGCTCATTGAGAAAGTGACATTTGAGCCAAGTCCTGTGTGGGGCAGGTTGGGCTGGGGGGCAGTGCACCAGGCAGAGGGAACGGCCAGGGCAAAGGCCCTAAAGTGGGGTGTCCAGGACAGCAAGGAGGCACATGCAGGGGTTTTCCCTTCCTCTCTGAAACAGATAATTGATTGAAGTAAAGGCTCTAGAACTGTGCAACAGATAGGCTTGCCGCTAAATCTAATGTTTGAAACAAACACATTAGGTGCTATTTTGTTTACTAAATGAGTTGCTATAGCATGCATCAGGACCACATCCACCACTTGTTGAAATAGACTGCTGGCTCCACCACCAGAGTTTCTGAGTCAGTAGTTCTGGGGTGGGGCTCGAGAATTTGCTTCTCTAACAGGTTTGCGGGTGATGCTGATGCTGCTTCTTTGGTTACCGTACTTTGAGAACCATTGCCCTATAGACAATAGGATTTCTCTAATAGTTCTGTGGTGCGTTTTAAGTATAATTTAAGGACAGCTTGTTTAGGAATATATCTTTACATAGTAACTTCTATTCCTCAGTAGTTCATAGGATCATATGTTGTGGAGTTCAAGTGGTCAGCAGGTCCAACCCTTTGCCTTTGGAGTAATCACTGTGGCCTGGTTTTACTGAGGAGCCACCTGAAACCCAGAGAGGTTGTAGCTGCCCAAGTCACTTGGTTATTAAGTTTTCAAAAAGATACTGATATCCAAAAGTAACGAAAAGAAAGCTTCCCTCTCTTCCATGTTTCCAAAACCACTGGACATGCAAACCTATTTAAATCTTGCTTTTTAATTAGGGGAGGAAGTACCCACGTGTGGTTTTAACTGAGAAAATCGGAAGTCACAGCTCCTGCTGTATCTTTGCTGCGTTTTAAGGCTAGGAATGCCTCACTAAGTGGGTGGGGCTCTGCCTGGTGTGAACCTGTGTGCTTCGGGCTCCTTCCTTAGCCCCTGATTTCTTTTCCTCTCTTCCTTCCTCCTCGGTCACGCCGGGGCCTGCTCCAGCACCAGGCTGGTGTCCACTCCGCAAAGGCGAACTTGCTGGGGGAGGCGGCAGCGAGGCTGTGTCCTCCTTGCCTTCTGCAGCAGTGGCAGTGTGGAAGGGTGACCTACAACCTGAGGTGCCTTGTCACTCTGCCCGATTTAGTACCTAACCTGAGACATTTGCATGTTCTTTTTTTGGTGGCAAAATCTGTGAGACAAAATACTACACATTTAGTAGCAGCTTAATTTAACTAAAAAAACTCAAGGTTATGTCTCCCCTGAAGGCATGTTTGTGGTTTTTCTCTTTACTGCATTCTCAAGGTGATAAGAGTGACATTTTTTGCCCAAAAAAGACACTTGCCCATTGAATTGGCTCTTTTACCTTCCTGCACCTTAGTTTCCTTGTTAGCAATGCAGGAAATTCGATCCTTCTTTAGAAAGGAGATCTTTGGAGGTTCTTGAGCTCAATGGCCTGGTTCCCTGCCAATCCGGGCAGCTTCGTTGGAGGGGCAAGATTTCAGGAGCTGTGCCAGGAGGAGTGCCTGAAGGACTCGCCCCCCGGAGCAGTTCGTGTCCTGTCACCACTGCTCTGCTGTCTGGCTCCACTGGCTTCAGTGTGTATGGGCAAGGGTCCCTTGGATGAGTTATTGCAAAAGGGCTCAGAAAACAAGGACCCATTTATACTATGGGTTTTTTCTCTTGTAAGAGATTATCTTTGAGAAGCCAGCTTTTAAATCTTCATTTCTAGATAGGTCATTAATATTTTAAAATACTAGTTAGCAGCTAGAAAAAAAACACCCAGAAATCCCTGGAAGGCAGGCACAATTCCTGAATGATGCGGTTGAAACTTGCACTCTCATATTTGCAACTGTGAGATTTGAATAAATGTCTTTCTGGTCCTCACTGTCCAGCCACCACATGTGGGTGAAATGCCAGAACCCTTTATTCTCCGGACTGTGCCCCCGGCGGAAGGGGGACATCTCCTGTAGCTCGATCTGCCCTGTGAGCATGTGGTGGGTGGGGTGGGTGGGCTGGGAACCTGGAGCCAGAAGGCTGTCTGGACATGCCCTCTGGGCTGCAGACTTGTCTGTAGGAGAGTAGAGCCCCGGGGGTGTGTCTGACTGGCCCATAGAGGCAGTTCATGGGTCTGGAGCTGCCTAAGCCACGGCAGGCCCCGCCAGATCTGCTGATGCAATTGGCTGGGGCCTGGCATCCATATTTTAGAAGCACCCCTATGATTCCAAGAGGCCACCCGGATTAGGAACAAAGTGTCACTGGGGAACCCCTCTGCCTTTGAGTCTGCTTTTGCAGGTCTGTTCAGGGCCCGTCTTAATCTTTCCTGGCACCTGGGCAGGTACAGGGATTTCCCAGCAGCTGAGGTGTCACGTGGGCGATGGGTGGTGTTACTTGCACTCCTTCCTGACTGACACAGCCGGCAGGAGTCTGGGCCTGCAAGAGGCCAGTGGAGGTGACAAGGTCCCTCTAGTTCCCTCGACTGCGGGGCCGTGCATCTGGGTCTGTCTCACTGAGGCCTCTGTTCTGAAGGTGTCTGCTGATAGGAGCTGCAGTGGGTGGCAGGGGAGGAGAAGGTAATTTGGTCCCATCTTGGCACGATGTCCTCTGCGTCAGCCGGCCGTTGTCAGACAGTTGCTGATTGTCACATTGTGTGTCTCATGCTTTTCCTTTTTTTTTTTTTTTTTAATAAAGACCTACTGTTTCTAAAGAGAACTGGCAGTTAACCAGAAAAGTGTGAGTTTAAAGCTTGTTGAAAAAGGGGAAGACACTTGGTGTTTTGGCTACTTTTAGTGCTTATGGTCAGGGACACCGGTACCCACTAATCAGAACGGACACAGGCCATGCGCGGTAATGGGGGCCTGGTGGCCCCTTGCTGGGCCTGGCTACCACCCTAGTTGGTGGATTGTGGGGGTGTTTGGGGGTCCAGGGAGAGGAGCCAGGGCAGGGTGGGCAGTGGTGGGACACCCCAGAGACTTAGACAGTGGTGGCTGTTTACCAAGCAGTACAAACTATTTCAACATTTTACCAACCAGTATGGCTGTTTGGGCTTATACTATCCAGATATCAGGTCTGCTTGTAAAAGATGCTAAAAATTCTGCTTAACCTCAGCTAAAGTGTGGGATAAGCCAGGACTGGGAGGACGATACGGTGATACATAGCCGTGTCTGCCTTGTCATTGTGGTGCCCTCAGGGCCCGGCCCAGGGTCTGGTACATAGTAGGTGCTCAGTAAATACTTGATCACTGAACCTAGTCTTTCATGACACTGTGCCGGGCACTGCAGTGTGCTGTGTAGCAGGGTTATCCCCGGACACCGGGCTGCCTCTGTGCACACAGCATCTGCTGCAAAGGAGAGGGTATTTTCATGCCAGTAGAGTGTGACAGGTCTTCAGCCTGGATGTGTTAAACCAGACTGCTCACACCCTTCCCAGACAATGTTGGGGCTACGCCGACAGCTCCTGCCTCTGAGCTGACAGTTCAGTGTCTAGCTTGTGTTATTATATCTGCTTATTTATTCTGTCACAGGTTGCTTTTTTTCAGTGTGTCATTTTTTTTTCTGTTCCTTGCTCACCATTCGTACATTCTGATCTATCTGGAGTAGAAGTCCTGTGTCTAAGCTTGGGGTTAACATCACAGACCCTGGATTGGACCACCTGGATCGAAACCCAGCTGTGTGTGAGTGTGGCCTCTCTGTGCTCCTGCGTCTTCAGCTATAAACCAAAATAATAATAGGTCCTTCTTCACGCGGCTGTTGCAAGTATTACTATATGTAACACACTTAGAATAGTGCCTGGCACATCTTAAGTGCCATATGGATGCTTGCTCCATTTATGATCTAATTTTAAATGACCAGATTTCAAATATGCTAATGTTAGACACATGAGCTAAACCAGGTGACACTTATTACCTGGGGGTGAGGTTGGGGAGCAACTGGCTCCTCTGGTTTTCTATTTTAGAATTCAGTGGAGCTTTCCATTTTGAACATTGGATGAAAATCTTTGACTCTCAGGAGGGTCTTTTAGCTGCTGCTTTGAATGTGTCTTTAGTATATTTCTGATCCTTGTCTGTTGCAGGGGAACTGTCACCCACCTGTAGTCCTTCCCAGGTGACTGTCTGGCGGAGTATGATGATGTGTCCCCACTGTTGAGATGGAAGAAATTCTCTAAAGGTCTGGGAGACAAACTGTAATAGTTAAATCTGTTGTGTGCCAAGGGTACTCTTCCATTTTCCTTTTCTTCTTCCTTTGGGAAGCTGTTCCCTGACCTCATGAGATCTTGGTGGGGCTGCCCCTGAAGGTGACTTGTGCCTCCTCCTGCCCTCATAAGTGGGCCAACGGTAGTGTTATGTTCCTCCAGTCACAGTGGCTGGCTCAGGGATGGGCATTTGTTCAATCTGGGCTACAAGAGATGCCCTTTTGGGGTTCTTCCACTGGATCCATTGGGGGAAGACTGTTCTCTTCATTTATGCTATCAAGTTGTAAGGATGTTGGCCAGGGGCTGCCAGAAGCTATCTCTCCTGAGATATGGAAAGAATCTCTACCACAGGCAAGAATGAAGGTGACATGCAAAGGGAAGTGGATATAAGCAGAGAAGAGAAAGAGAAACAGGCAGAGACAGAAACATGAGCACCTAGATCCAGCTTTAGCTGAACCAGTCTACGCACTAAGCTTCTCAATTATGTGAATTAATAAATTCCCTTTTAGTAGAGTCTGGAAATATTTTATGATACTAGATTTCCTAGAATGCCCTGATATGGCCGCATAAGAAAAAATTGAAAAAAAAAAACAAACAAAAAAACCCAGAATGGATCAATTTGCTGCCTGGCTTGACTCTCTCAATGATTTAAGAATGGGTCAATGACATATTTCTGTGACTTGATCATGAAACCCTCCTTACTGCATTTCACAGCTCTGTGCTTTCCTTTGTGTTGCCTCTCTGTGCCATGCTGTTCCTCTGACTCCTTAGGTTCCTGACAGCTGACTCACCATTCAAAGTTCCACTCAGGCTGGGGGTGGTGGTGCATCCCTGTAGACCCAGCCACTTTGGAGTTGAGATGGGAGGATTGCTTGAGCCCAGGATTCCAGGCTGCAGTGAGCTATGATCAGGCCACTGCACTACAGCCTGGGTGACAAAGCAAGAGTGAGATCCTAGCTCTGGGAGACAAAAAAAAAAAAAAAAAAAAACCCAACAAAAAACAACACACACAAAGTTCCACTCAAATGTTCCTCTTCTGCTGCCATCTTTGATCTTGCTAGTTAGATCCTGTCTCTTCCTTCTCTGGGTTCCCACAGCACTTTAATTTTTCTCTACTTATCTCAAGTTGTATTATGTTACAATTCATTGTCCAAGTGACCCGTTTGTCCTTTGGAATCATCCTGGCTTGGAGATTCTGATGGCACTGGCTGGAATGCCCACTAATGAGAGGTGCAAACCTGGCCTTCTCCTGAGTAGGATCAGGGAAGTGTTTGGGAGTTGCTAATAAACAAAATCACCTATATCTCACTCTAGCATTTTTATGGGTTAATTTTTATATTTACCTCTTTGCTCCAATTCGGATTTCTTTTGATTTAAGGAGTCAGAATGAGAATCTAATTGGGGGGGGGGATGGTTAAAATATTTTGAAGGATTTTTCTTTTTTTACT